GCTCTCAAATGATTCTGTAGGGAGAACCGTTAAGCTAGCAGCCCCTCTAAGAAACCAAACTAATGTTAGGATCGGCAGCAACGATGCAACGATGGTCAAAAGTTGCCACCTATATAACTAAAGAAACAAATAATGTAGTGCAACTGAATCATGCAAGTGAAATGCTAATAACGTTCAAGCCATTAGTGTGTGCCATCAGCGTTTCTTTTAAGATATTGGGTGATGAAATTATAAATAAAAAAATGGTCTTAATAAGACAAATATGATCACACAGTTGATAACATTAAAGTGGTGTGACAAAACTAACTAATAATAATAACAATAAAATAATAATGACAACAATGATAATGACGATAGTAATGAAAATAATGATAATAACGATAATAATAACAATGATGATAGTGACGATAATAATGATAATAATAGTAATAATAATGATAATAATAATAATAATGACAATAATAATAATAATAGTAACAACAACAACAACAACAATAACAATAACAATAATAATAATAATAATAATAACAATGATGATAAAAATGATGATGATAATAATGATAACAACAATAATGATAATAATAATAATGACAATAACAGCAATGATAATAATAATAATAATAATAATAATAACAATAATAATAATAATAACAAGGATGGTAACAACAATTATGATGATAATAATAATATCCGAATGATCTTACTATGGCACGAAATAATGCAAAAACGCATGATCGTACGGGCCCATCTGGTGCGCGTCGCCAATGATTTCTTAGTATTCTTATATTTGTTTCTATTTTGCTTTACCCTAAAGCTAATTTAGTGATAGTAACAATGATGATGATTATAATAATAATAAATTATCAACACACGCTACGTATGAGAACGCAGCAAAAAATTTCTCTAACCATTTTTTTCCTGCGAAGGCTAGAATGAAGATTATTTCAGGTTACCTTTTGAAGAGCATCGGCATAAACCGACGGTGTACGCATTGTTCTTGCCCCACTTTCCCGTATCGATGACTGATAATCATGAAGGAGTGTGCTGAAAAAAAAGTATCAACCTGATCAGCAAGGATTTTAGTCCACTTTTAAACTGTGACAAATAAAAAATCAAAAAAACTGTGATCACTGATTTACTGATCAGACATTATCAGTTATATTCTAATTTTTTTGCCTGCGTTTTACAGATCCACAACTAACCTGGTGGGATTATTGTCGATGAATTCACGAACTGTATCCGTTGCTTTGCCGATTTTGATGATTTCTTCCATTTCCTTATCCGAGATTTGCGGTGTTGGTAAAATCAGCTTCGAACGCTTTTTCTCCGCTTTCTGCTCAAAAATTGACTCCGGATTACCTTCGGCTCTGGAAAAAAATGCGGTTTATGAAAAAGCCAGCAACAGCCACTGGGATTTCTCATATGGTAGGACTTCTTTTGTAAAAATGCAAAAATTTAAATATCAAAATCATCTCTTCATTTTCTTCATTATGGGTAGAGGCATTAGGATGTTATTTAGCGGTGAATTGGAAGGTGTTTTATCAAAAACAGTCACCCCTTAATTACACTGCTCGTGTTTCCTTTTTTCCTATGATCTACTTTGGAGAATATGCTGAATGTAATCCTAAATTCTAATTTTTTGCAAAAAATCAGCACTAACAATCCGAAACAGTCAACTGAAACACAGATCAAAAATCTGTATTTCTTTAAAATCTATGTCCCCCGCTGAAAGAATCGCAAATCCTTCTTTACTTTCAATTCCGAATATTTGGGCTACTTGAAAATTTATCAAGCTCGTCACCAATTTCCCTGTTATCTCTTTTTATGCGTTTTGTGCTGTGTAACAGCTTTACAAAACGCATATTGTCACGAGGTTGTCTGTACGTGTGTGTCCCACGTTTTGTCCCGCACTTTCAACTCGGGAACCACAAAAGCTAGGAAGCTGAAAATTTTGGGGAACGTTCCCTATCCACGTGTGACCCCGCAAATTTAAATTCAGCTTCCCCATACCCGCGGGTAACGCGTACGGCCCCGTGAAAGTTTTTTAAGGGTAAGTTAATATCTCGGAAACCACGGAGTCTAGGAAGCTGAAGTTTTAGGGTAATGGCCCCCTGCTCACGCTCAACCTTGCCCATTGAAATTCAGCGTTCTCGCACTCTCGGTTATCACCCACGGCCTCGTGAAAATTTTGGCGGGTAAACTATTAACTCGGGAATCACGGAAAGATATTCATCCTTCGAGATTTCGAATTCTGTACGCTGGTATGTGAAATTTTTAAATGTTTTCCAATGTTTGAACTATTTTTACATAGATTAAAGTACAAAGCAGTGAAAATCATTAATAGGCAACCGTTCGATGAGCTGAATTGCACAAAACGCATGATCGCACCGGCTAGTCTGGTGCGCGTTGCCATTTATTTACTTCAAGAAGAGGACTTTATTGAACTTTATCGATGTTCAACGAAATTCCCACCTTCGTTTTTTCAGTTTCTCGCGATCCTTTTTACGCTCCTCGTTTTCAATATCGTCACGTCGAGTACCTTCAATCTCACCACGAGTTTGCTTTTTAAATGTTGTGTCTTTTTCAAATTTGTCTTCCGATGGGTCGTAGAAGCCCGGTGGCACGGTTTGCTCGAACGGAATCTGAAAAAAAGCGAACATGCAAGTTGATATACGTTGGGAGTAAGTGATCTTGCTCTCCCCTTTCGAGGACGTTCCAGCGCACAACCCAGATCTGGAGCGTAGATCGACTGGAGAAGTTTAGGGCATTGTGTTGGCGATCGAAAGGACTGTGGGCCGACACAAGAAGGATCGATATCTCCCCCAGCAGCAGCTCCGACAGCGTCTCGAGGAACGTGAAGTGTGAAGGCCGGACGGACCATGCCGACCGTGGTACCCCGGTCAGCACCAATCGAAGAATCACAAACTCGGAGCTCCTAACTGTCAGTGTTGATATTTTCTGCTGGTCTAATAAAAATCGAACTCAACGTGTGTCGCAACGGACACAACAATACAGATGCCAAAAAGCACAGTGAATATATACGCCAACAAATCAAAGGAAAACCTCAGCGTTGTAATCGATATGGGTTGGATGTCTGCGCTGGAATTTGTGCTGTCCCCACTGAATGCCAGCAGCACGCAGTTCACGTCGTTTCTGTAACGAGGCAAGCCGGCGTGCTTCCGAAAGCTGCTTCTCGCGGGCCTTTCGTTTTGCCTTAAAATCAACAAAATTTGGCGGATTTTCAATTATCGACAAGATTAAAGATCAGATGAAGGATAGGATTCAACAAAATTTGGCAGATTTTCAATTACCGGCAAGATTAAAGGTCAGATGAAGGAGAGGATTTGAAAAACAAACTTTTTTGCCTTGTGTATTAGCCAGCCTTGCACGTGCTTCTGAAAGCATTTCGAGCTCATCCTCGTCCATGTCGATGGGATCCGGTCGAGCTGGCTTTGTTTCCGGAGTGGGATCTATTTCACCAGGTCGCAGTTTTCGAGCATCGTTCAGATCTTCAGTCTCCTCAATCTGCTCTGCTTTCTTTTGAGCCTAAAAAATATGGAAAAATTCACTAGAAATTCACAAAAATAAGAATTTTTCTTTTGAGAACGAAAAAAAAAGGCGTACCTCTCAGAGACTCCCCACCCCCCCTCCTCCCCCTCCCCCCTCAGAGGAAAAAAGAGGCTTGCCTCAGCCCGCCAACAACTTTTCAGACTTCATCCCTGAATCTCTACAAACTGATGGACCATTTGCTTGCAATAACTGTTAACTTTTAATCCAAATAAATTTCTGCTTAGCAATTACGAAAAAAAAAAAACAAAGTCTCCCGCCATCGATAACTTGACTGCACGCTTTACCCGCAAGTCTCTTCCCGCGCCTGAGTTTACTCTCACTACAGTAAAAGTTAACAGAATCCTCAACTTCTTAAGCTAATCATTATTCGCAATAATCTTCAGCAGCGGCAACAACGACAATTATTATTATGACGACTGTGATATGTCCATGACTATGATTATTATGGTCGTATTATCATTATGATGATTAAGATAATGGTCGTATTATTATGATGATTAAGATAGTTGGTACGGCTACGATCGTGATTAGGAAAGCCATAATATTACTATGATTATGATTAAGATAGCTGATTATGACCATAATTATGATTAAGAAGTTGGTATGGCTACGATCGTGATTATGAAAGCCATAATATTACTATGATTATGATTAAGATAGTTGGTAAGGCTGCGATTGTAATTATCAAAGCCATAATATTACCACGATTAAGGCAGTAATCATAGAACAAGTAATAATAAAGACTAAGAAGTTATTGTGACCAGAACGGCTATTACCCGGACGACATATATGACTAAAACAATTATGAAAATAGCAAAAATGCCAAAAAAAACCTCGTC